GAGGACCTGCGGAGATGGCTGGGTGGGGTCAACTCAGTCCAGGAAGTGCAGGAATTCTTTTAAGTGTATGCGTCTGGGGTGTTTTTCTCTCTCACTTACGTGTATTTTTAAAAATTCTTTTTAGACACCCGCTTTATCTTTCCCAAACATCATTTCCTTGCTCCTTTCCTGAGTTCTAGCAGTGGCCAGGGGCCCAGCTTCCTTATTGGTCTCTGAGCTGGAGATGGGATGGGCCAGGGCACAGAAGAGGTAGGAGTCAGGAATGGGGTGGGGGTAGGGGAGAAGGGAGGGTTGCTGCTGGAACTGCCTTTCCTCCTTTGCCTTGCCACTAGGGCGCTGGCTGGTTCCTGGAGCAGGGTCTTTACTCTTATCCAGCCCTTGACACTGGCTGACGTTCCCTAAGGCTGTGGCCACAGAAAAACCCAAGCAAGCTGATAGCTGTCGCTTGCTGTCCACTTGAACTCCTTGGATGGCATTTAGGATCTTGGGCTGCCTGCCTCACACCCAGGGTGTCTTAGTAGAGGGCTGATGGTCCCCAGCTAAGAGAAGACACTGGCGTGGTTGAGACTGAAGTAGCTGCATACTCCAATCTGTCATAAGCCACCTCTCCTCCCTGAGCAACTTCCATGGTAGGTACAACCAGAGTTTCCAACTTTTGCCTCCTCCCGCTGTCTTCCTTTGGTGTCTTGGTTTTCTTCCTTAGACAGGCATTTGAGGATCCGGAGTTATTGAATATGTTCAGTCCTAGTGCCTACCCCAGCTTTAGGAAAAGGGATGAGGGTTCTAGTTGTCCCTATATTGGGGTCAGGCTGTCTAATTGATGCTGGGCTTCTCTTACCCTACTTATCGCTCATCCCCTCCCTTCTCCACTGGAGGAGATAGTTTTAAGTCTAGAACCACTGGGACCTCCGTTTTCTTACTGCTTCTTGAGGTATGGTTATATCAAGCCTTAAATATATAAACCTTATGAGGCAGAACCCTTTGAGCATGTTTTCCCTTCAAATTTATTATTTGAAGTACTAGAAGCGTTTGTGTACTAGAAGACAACTCTGTGTCTTTGGCTCTTCCTGTGTACCTTTATGTGAATTCTGGCTTGTGCGACAAATGCTTTACCTACTGAACCACCCTGCTAGTCCCGGATCTAAGTATTGGTCCTAATTCTAACCATAGATCTAGTTGCTAGCTATGTGTTTCTGAAAAATAATTTAAGTTTTCTGCATCTCTCTTTCTCTATTGATAAAGCGGGGGTAATAATAGGTTTTAACATGACATGAAAGTGAGGGTTAAATCAGCTAATGCATATGAAGTACTTAGTACCTGACATAGCTTCAGTGTTCAGTAGAGGACCTTGTTTTATTTTATCATACGTTTATAGAATGTCCGTATCAAGCACTTTGCCAATCGATTCCACACATAGGATTGCATCATTTATATCAGACCATAGCTCAAGAGAAATAGATAGTCATTATGCCACTTTACATATAAAGACTATAAACTATACAACCCAAGCTCTGGTGGTATAGACTCATTGCCTAGCATACACGATCCTAGGTTCCAGCCCAGCCCCCTTGCCCCAAGTTACAAAAATCAACACCTCAGGAAATCCTTGGGCAAGGTTACGCAACTAAGGTTTGAACACAAGTGTTGCTTAGTGTCTAGAGCAGTTCACAAATGATAATGGGTCAGGTACTGGGCTTGCAGGCTGTTTCTTCCCTTTCTTAAATGAGGGTTAAGTGGGAACTTGATCTGGCTCTCTGCTGAGATTTCCTTCCTCCCAGTCTTCCTTTTTTTTCTAGTGTCTCCAGAGCCCTCCCTCCCTTCCTCTGTCTCCTCTGGGATTATTTTCTACTGGAGAAACCCTAGAGACTGCTGGGCCTGTTTCAGCTACTGTTTTAAGTGTGACAGGGAAGTAGTGCAGCGGAACTTTGATGAAGTTTCTCAGGCACACTAGCTTGGAAGTGCCCTGAGCCATTTAAAAGAACAACTTTGAGCTAATAGCCAATATTGTACTCCATAGGATTTACTGACCACTTGGTAAAGCACTAGACTGTTTACAAGATTCTTTGAGAAGGCTTCTTCTAATGCCCACAATAACATAGGCAGGTGAGGATGCTGCTTCTAATTTCTATAATAACCTAGCCAGTTAAGAACTTCAATTTCTCAAGAAAACAGTATCATATAAAATGCTAGAGTTTTGCTTCTCATAACTTACTAATTTAATATAGTTAGTAGGACAAAGCTAATATACACAAAATGTTGATAAGCAATACAAAATAGCATGTTATGATGGGCTAAATTATGAAGACTACATTACTTGGGATAGACTCCCCGGAGGAGATGACACCGGCAGTACATATTTATTTACTTTAATTTGTATACTGTTTAGTGCCTCATGTCCACAAAGATGCACAAGTTAATGACCATTGAGAATATCCCCTTTTTACTGCTATGGAAATGATAATTCTGAGAAGCTGTCACTTGTTGACAGCAACAGAAATTAGTAAGTGATAGAGTTGGGATTCAAATCAAAGCAGTCCAATTACTGGGATAAATTCTACTAAAAATGAATGACAATAAAGGAGAGTTGGGAAAAAACAGAGCTAGCTACAAAGTGTGATCAGAGCAAGAAGATGAAGCTATAGTATGACGCAGCTTATGGAGACTTTGAAATCTGATCCAGTTTGTATTTAAAGCAGGACAGGGTAAGACATTGGGATTTAGTGGTAGAGAATGCCCCTCCAATTGAGTTGTTGTTTAACCTGGTAGGACCTAAAAGCCACAGGTGGAAATATACTCTTTGGCAGGTGGACATAATACTTTGGACACAATATTGAGGTCATAACTAGAATGGAAAGGTAGTAGCAGTGGATTCTGGAAGAAGAATTGTAGTTCTATAAGGGTACCAAAATTGAGAGAAGAAGGAAGGAGAGAGAGAAGGAGGAAAGCAGGGTAGATAGATGGAATGGGCAGACAAGCCAAAGATACTTTATAAAAGAAGACTTAACAGAGAAAATAGTGGATTAAGCAGTTGGGAAAAATCAATGCTTACTAGTTCATGTTTTAGACTCAGAAGAAACTCAGAAATCCTGGATATGGAAGAAAGACCCAAAAATAGCATAGGTTCCCTATTTTATAACTACAATCTCAGTGTTTAGAAGCACCAGACATAATAATGGATGTACACAGACCTAATAGTAAACATTCCTCCAACTGGGAGATGCTTGACCATATGACTCTTTGACCACATGACTGCTGGATGAGAGTAACAGCAAGGTTCTCCCAACACCACAGCTTTGGGTATGATCTATGGCCCTGATGTTTGACAGGTAACTTTTTCTGCCCTTCTTCCCATATATTTCCTTGTTTGTGTCTTTTGCCTCCAGCAAGGCCTGCTCCTCAGGACTACCTTTTTAGGCTTTGACTTTGTGCTGTCTGAGTCTTCAGAATTTTTGCATTTCCTCTTTCTTGACTCTGCCTGCTCATGGGAGTTAGAGAATTTATTTACCCCACTGGACAACAAGCTTTCTGACAACAGAAGTCCTCATCTGCACTACCAGTGCCCAATAAGGGGCCCATGAATAAATTATTAAATAATATATCATCTAGATATCTTTCTCCTATCTACTCACTTAGTGGATTTTGTCCTGCAGCGTCATTCATCTGCCTGGCACCCACTGTATGTTCCTATAAACTTTCTCAGTTTCTTCCCTTCTGGCATTTGTTTGTCCCTCTGTCATCTCTCCTTGTCTCTTGCGCTACCTGACCCTTCTGTGCCCTCTCCCTTTCCCTACTTCTTCTTCTGCTCTCTCATCTGTATGTCTTTCTTCTCCTGCTTCTATTCTCCCTCCAATCAGTCATCTCTTTCTTCCCTAGTTCTACCATGTCCTGGCTTAGCTTTCCCATTCGTAAGAGTGGCATCTAATCATATGAAGTGTGACGGTAGACATGGATGAGCCTTATATAAGCAAGTCACTGTAAGAGTTGCAGTTGTAGGCTTTAGCCCCTGACAGAACCTCTGGTTATATTGAGGGCATTGGCCACAGATCTGTTTCCAGTTATCTACCCCCACCATGCTAAATAGCCAATCTCTTCTGTCGCCCTAGCCTGTTCACCACTTTGTCCTTTTTCTCTTCACAAGAGTTTGGACTCTTTGTCATGACCTTGCCTTCAAGTTTAAGTATCTCCCTTATGTGTACCTGTGTCCATCTTAACCTTCAGTCTCTAGGGCAATTTTATGATACTTTGTTTCAATTAGTTCTGTCTCATTCATGAATCAGCAAGCTCTCAGGAGTATAGACAGTATTTGACTCATGACAATATCCCCAGAATTACATGTATTTTAGAAGACACATAGTAAACATACAATAAATACATAACAGAATTAATGAAGAACATTTGAACAGTTCACACTCCACTGCTGACTTTTTAAAGCATCTCAATCACTCACCTCCTTTTGCAGAGAAAAATGGGAAGATTGGTCGTTTTGATATTCTCCCTTAAAGACAAGTGTAGGTAGGCTTGCTATTCATTGGTCAGCAGCTTTTGTGCAATCCACAAATATTACTGAGCATCTACTGTGTGTTTAGAATTATTATATATCCTTGGGTATGATTTTGTTTGTTTGCTTTGGTTTTTTTCAAGTCACGGTTTCTCTATGTAGTCCCGGCTGACCTGGTACTCCTTCTGTAGACCAGGCTAGTCCTCAAATTCACAGAGATCCACCCGCCTCTGCCTCCTGAGTCCTGGGGTTAAAGGCATACACCACCATTGCCTAACGATACTTGGATATGTAATATTTCCATTGAAGCTGGCATTTTATGTCTCCAGGAATCATCCATTGGATAAAGGAAATTTGAGTAATGAAGCTAAGGGGAATGCTTAGATGTCTACACTAACTCCTTGGAAGATAATCTAGCTCATTGAATAGAAAGAGGGGGTAGGGACGGAAGTCGCTTGGGAAGTGATTTCAGCACTGACTTCCTGGCTCTTTCTTGTTGTAGGAGGAACATCCCCGTCAGTAGGCCGCACTCATGGCATGTGGCCAAGCTATTGGAGGGGTGCCCTGAAGCGGCTACCACCATGCATTTCCCTTCTGAAGCCTTCAGCTTGTCTTGGCATTCTGGTTGCAACACAAGGTGAGTCTGCAGGATGGCCAGCTTCAAGGTGGGCTAGAGGACGGACAGCCTGGTCACTCGCGTCCTCTGATCTTGTCCCTGCTTGATGTTTTAGAGCTGAATGGGTATAGCAAAAAATAACACGGCCATCTAGAGTCCCTGGGCTCTTATCTAATTATATGACTAACAGGCTAGCACCATGACCTTGAGTCTGCATTTTTACTTCTTAATAGTGTTTCCTTGAAATCACAAAAATAACCACTCTGCCCCCGATTCTCATTCTATCTCACTATTGATTCTTCTTCAGATTCTTTTCTTGATTCCTATCGGAGCCAGTCTTCTCTATAGTTTCTCACTAGGAACTTCCTCTAGTGTTTGTTTGTTCTCTCACAGAGCAGAAATCTCCAAAGCAGGGACGTCCCCAAGTCCAGCTCCATGAGAGGAGCTTGGTGTTGTCCATTTTTATCGAAACAACTACTCAAGAGACAAATCGCTTGTTTGTTTTTCCCCCAGTCACAAAGCCAGCCAAAGTATTTTCCCTTCAATAATCATATCTCTCCTCCAAGAGTGGATTTTTTTGTTGGGGGTGCTCAAGGAAGCTGAGGGTTAAGTTTTCCCTAGATTGGTCATTTTATTTGGTTTTAGAATCCAGGGACTCATGGCAGAGGCAGTTTTGTTCTAGAAGAATGCACAGAGATATATTCTAGATCTAACTCCTGTCTGAGTGTGTGTGTGTGCATGGTGTGTATGTGTGTTCCAGCAGAAATTGAGGGGAATAGCAGGTTCCCTTGACAACAAGAAATGAATGTATTGCTAGCTCAGAACCAACTGAGCAAAGTGCTTAAAACCATGCATTAAGCAGGACAAGGGAAAGCTGTTCAGAAGCTCTCGTGGGCTGCTGTCACAGCTCAGCTGTGGCTTGGTTTCTGAGAGCAAACCTGCAACCTGTAAGCTTCTAGTCAAGGAGAGCTAATGGCATTTCTTGGCTCAGCCTGGCTATGTGTTTGGGAAATGGTACTTAACATTCAAAATGATGTCTTCCTGGAGGGCTTTGGCTGTTAGAAGATAAGGGAAGAATGGGTGAGCATAGCCCACTCATAGATCATGGCTAATAGTAGAAAGGACATTGATAGCAATGACAGCCGAGAGCAGCTCCTGCCTTAGTAGATGCCTGGGCTCTGACAAGGGCCTTTTGTTTCTTATCTGATTTCATCTCCACAGCAACACTCTGGTAGAGAGTTTATTATTTTTCCCCATTTGGAAGAGTTATCAGAGAGGAGGTAAGACTTTGGATGGACAGAGTCCTGGGTTCCAAGTGCAGTTCGGCTTCTTCCGCAGATTGCTGAAATCATCAGTTTGCTTTGCTTCGTGGGTTACAAAGTGAAGGAAGTCATCTCATTTGGGCTTCAGATGGAAGTATGTAAAAGGCCTCAGTAAATAATCAAAATTTCTATTATCAAGAAAAATTGTAGGTTCTGAGGCTGTAGCCCCATAGCCGAGCCCTTCCCTACCATGTTCCAGGTCCTCAGTCCAACCACCAGCACTACCAATAAAGTGCTAGGGAATCTCCAGACCAAAGGAACATTTCAACTCCATCTCTGACTGCGCCACTAGTTAGAGTTTGTAAAAAATTATCTTCTCAAGGTCACTTCCCTCTCTGAAGCTCTGTTTCATTGACACCAGTGGCTTTCCACAGTGCGGGGAAGCCCACTGGCCTGCTATAAGAAGCCCTCCATGTGAGTGAGGTGCACACTCAGAATGCACTTTGAGAATCACTGCTTTAGGAAATGCTCCGGCTGAAGTCAAATCCGTCCCATAGGGCTTCTCTCTAATGCTGAAGCTTTAAACTTCTAATGCTGGCAGAGAACCATACGCTGACCCAACAGAGACTACTCAGAAGCAGCTTCAAACTTGCTGTTAGCAGTGACATCGTGCCTAATCCCCATGACATTTCCCCGGTCTTTGGGATGTGTGCTCATTCTTCCTCTCTGTGCAATCCTGTCTCACATTCCATCCTGTTTCTGTGCTGTCCCTCTGTCAGTCTTCTTGCTCATTTCTTCTGTTTCTCCCTTTGCCTCATTTTCCTTTCGTTTGTAACATGGGTGGCTCTGACTTGACTTGTCCTTTTCCGTGGTGGATGGGCCAAGGTGGGAAAAGGGTCTATTTTCTTGGCTAACTCACGTGTATGCCTTGTGTCTTACAGTGACGTGTGTGTGCAGTGGTGCCCCCTCTCCCGGCACTGCAGCACTGAGAAAAGCAGCTCGATTGGCAGCATGGAGAGCCTAGAACAGCCAGGCCAAGCTACCTACGAGGGTCACCTCTTACCTATCGACCAGAACACGTACCCCAGTCAGCGTGACTCAGCCTACAGCTCCTTCTCAGCTAGCTCAAATGCCTCTGACTGTGCCCTTTCACTTAGGCCTGAGGAACCACCCTCCACAGACTGTGGCATGCCAGGCCCAGGGCCAACTAAAGCCACTGATGGCCGATCTAATGTATGTGAGACCTCAGAAAGTAGCCACAGTACCAGTGGGGCCCGTGTGACCTCCACTTCCCAAGAGTCACCCTGCCCAGAGGAGGGTCAACACTCAGGACCTGCCAAGATAGTACAAGGTCCACCAGAGCCGCCTGTGAGGCGGGACAGCCTTCGGGCCTCTAGAGCTCAGCTCCTCAATGGAGAGCAGCGCCGTGCATCTGAACCTCTGGACTCCTTGCAACAGAAGGAGAAACAAGGCTTAGAGACAGTGCTGCCTCCAAGGAGCCCTAAGCAATTCTGCTGCGTAAGTGGGCAAGACCAAGTGACAGGTGAGGGCCACCAGAACTGTGAGCTCAGCCAGCCTTCTGAATCCAATCAGGAGGACTCTGAGCATCTACTGATAGAAGGCTCCTCCAAAGCACTTGATTCCCCAAAAACTCATGACAAAGGTTCTAGCAGAGAGTTCAGCCTGCTCAAGGAGGCTTCAGCAGATTTGGCTAACCCTTTGTCTTTTGGTGCCATCCCACACCTCCGAGGAAGCACAGAGCATCGCCATAGTGCTCCAGAACAGCTGCTGGCGTCCCAGTTGCAGCGGATGCGTGTGGATTCCAGAGGCAGCAAGGGGATGGAGTTGCCAGCTGGGCAGGATGGGCACCAGTGGACGGTGTCCCCTTTGCACAACAACCCTAAGGGAAAGAAAAGTCCAGGTCTCCCTACAGGAGACCCTCAAGACCAGCCTATCAAAGAAAGGAAGGTTAGGCCCATAGATGATAAGGTGATGGGTCCGGTGTACCAGAGCCAAAGTGGTTCCCCACTTGGAGAGGTGGATGGACCCCTGCCAGAACGAACTTACTTAGACCCAAACCAAGCAAGCAGAACAGGCAGTGACTTGGCTAGCCAGCAGCCCTCTGTCACTTGCTCCCCTATTCAACAAGCCAGAGATGCATTTTCAACTTCCAAAATAGCTGGTCATGCAGAAGCAGCTGAAGAAGGTGACAGTGAACCCAAGGAAGGTGGCCGATTAGGTGGCAGAAGGAGTGGAGGTCCCCGGGGCCGTTCCATCCAAAACAGGCGGAAGAGCGAGAGGTTTGCTACTAATCTTCGTAATGAAATTCAGAGGAGGAAAGCCCAGCTCCAGAAAAGTAAGAGTCCATTGTCACAGCTGTGTGACACTAAGGAGCCAGTTCAAGAGACCCAAGAGCCTCCAGAAAGCCCTCCACTCCCTACTTCTAACTCAGCTCTCCTGTCTTCATATAAAGAAGTCCCTAGCCCGGGAGACAAGCTCTTCAATAAAAGCATGATTCTCAGGGCTAGGTCTTCAGAATGCCTCAGCCAAGCCTCAGAGAGCTCCAAAGCTAGGGTAGGCTTAGAGGGAAGGCTAAGCCCTGGCCAGAGGTCTGGCCAGTCTTCTTTGAGCCTGAATACCTGGTGGAAGGCATCTGACTCACCCTCCTTAGACACTGACAAAGCAAATGCTCCCCCTGGGGTCTGTGGAGGTCAATGGAGATGGTCGCCAGAATATAACCCACAGCCACATGTGCCACTATCCACAGAAGGTCCTTCCAGCCCAGATGACAGCAAGGAACTGAAGACATCTACTGCTCAAGCTGGGGAAGAAGCCATTCTTTTGCCGTTTGCAGACAGAAGAAAGTTCTTTGAAGAGAGCAGTAAATCTTTGTCTACATCTCATTTGCCAGGCTTAACCACTCATAGCAACAAGCCTTTTACCCAGAGACCAAAGCCTATAGACCAAAACTTCCCGTCAGTGAGCTATAGAGAATTGAGATGCCATCCCCTGGACCAATCATATCATTCCACAGACCAGCCATACCATGCCACAGACCAATCATATCATTCCATGTCACCACTTCAGTCAGAAACTCCCACTTACCCAGAATGCTTTGCTACCAAAGGCCTAGAAAATTCCCTGTGCTGTAAGCCACTGCACTGTGGGGATTTCGATTACCACAGGACCTGTTCCTATTCCTGCAGTGCTCAGGGAACTGTAATGCATGATCCTTGCATTTATTGTTCTGGAGAAATCTGCCCTGCATTGCTAAAGAGAAATTTGTTGCCAAATTGCCTCAACTGTAGATGTCACCACCACCAATGCATTCGGTGTACAGCTTGCTATCATAATCCTCAGCATGGTGCCCTTGAAGACAGCAGCCTGGCACCTGGCAATGCTTGGAAATCCAGGAAGTCAGCAATACAGGTGAGGACTTGGTTCGTGGGTGAGTGAGAGTCATTATTTTAAAATGTAATCAATCACAATGCATTGCAATGATGTAGTCCTGTCTCTACACTCAGCCACCAAGATTGCAGTATAGCTGTGCAGCTTTAGAGATTGGGGAAAGTAAGGTTTGCTCCTTAAAATGAACAAGACTGGAATTTGTTCTATCTTTAAAATTAGTATCCGAGTGACCTTAAGTAAACCATCAACTGATTATAATGTGAAGTTATGCCATTTTTAAAGGGAAAAAATATATTCACTTATAAAACAGCTAGTACTAATAAAAATTAAAAGGTAGGATCCACATAAAAGATAAAACGTACTAATTGTCTTCTTGCATCTGGCTTATTTTGTTTGATGTAATATTTTTAGTTGTACCCATTTTCTGCAAATGTCATGATTTATTCTTTTCTTTATGAATAAATAAAATTATATTATGTATAGTATCCAGAGGACTCCAAGTCCTTCCACAGATATACTTGCATACCCGTTACCATTATAATTACCATACTTAAAACAGTTGAGGACTAGAACCAGCCTAGATGTCTGTCCATCATCAGATGAATGGATAGCATGGCTCTTCTGTTGGAAGCAAAAGTGGAGAACAGTGTTTTGCAGTGTGTATTTGCACGGAAGTTGACGGGAACAGAGCACGAAAGCACATTAAGAGCTTGATATGGACTAGATTTACATGAGTGTATTAACAACCAACAAATGTACATTAATATTTATGCATGTCATAGGAAATATATTTTGCCTAAAATTGTATAAGCAAATGATAAACTTTAATATGCATGCTGAAGTATTCTTGAAGTATACTCACGTGTACAAATTATTGTCATTTCCCACCTATGCATCTTACACATATTTTGGTTTACATATGCCTACAGTTCCAATAGGCTTTGAAGCTATAGTAAGCAATATTGTTTTCCGAATAGTAACTTGAAGTCCTTTGCTACTTCTTCTCCATATACAGTTGAACTTTGCCAGTGTCTTCATATCCTATAGCATTGCCGAACTCACTGATGAATTCTAGTCCTCTTTGGTAGGTTATAAAAGATTTTGGACATAGGAGGTTGTATGATCTTGGAATAGAAGGAATTTTGTATCTTTTTCATGTTCTGTATGCTCATTGATTTGCCTGGGACCCCCAATACCCTGTTCAGAAGGAACACTGGAGAGTAACAATGTTGCTCGATTTTCAGAGCTTCCCTGTGAAGTTTGGTGGCTACGATCTTCTAGTGATTGTTGTTGTGTAGTTGTTCTTAATCTTGAGGAGAAATGCCCTTTTAGTCTTAGTTTCAAAGGAGCTCTTTTTTAAAATTTAAGAAGGAACTTTGGATTCTTTCAAATGTTTTCCTATTTCTATTAAGGTGCCCACATAGTTTTAATTTTTGTCTAAATTTATAGTGAATTATACTGATTGGACTTTGAAATAAGTATCCACCTAGCATTTCCAGGATAAACCCCACTTGATCATATGTAGTAACTTTTTATGTAGCTAGATCTGACTTATTAGCATTTTGTTAAGGCCCTTTGAATCTACATTTAATACAGAATTTAGTCTGTATTATAAAATCTTTTTTTTTCTAACTAGGTAATGCTAGCTAAATGAGGTGGGAAGCAGTCCCTGCTCTTCTATTTTTCAGGAAGAATTTGTACAGCACTGTTGGTTTTTTTTTCTTCTTTAAGCATGTGATAAAATTTATCACTGAGCCAGGCAGTGGTGGTGCAGGCTTTTAATCCCACCTTTCAGGAGGCAGAGGCAGGCTGATCTCTGTGAGTTTGAGGCCAGCCTAGTCTATGAGAGCTAGTTTCAGAATAGGCTCCAAAACTAGAGAGAAACCCTGTCTCGAAAAACCAAAATGATAAAAAAATATTAAAATCATTTGGACCTGAATTTTTTTTGTAAGAATATTTGAAACTGCACATGAATTTCCCTGATAGAAAAAGAGTTATGGAGATTATCTGTTTCTTCTTGAGTGAGCTTTGGTAGATTGTGGCTTTAAAGAAATTTCTCTATGTCATTTACATTTTTACATTTATGCAGATAAAATTGTTGGGACCTACTCTGAAGGGCATGTCAGAATTTAAGATGTACCGGTTGATGAGTAGAGGAGGAAACAGGTACATAATAAGGTGAATATAGCAAAAATGTCCATTGTAGCATCTTGATAGGATCCATGGATGCTCACGGTAAACTGCTTCCATCTTTTTGGTATGTTTGGAAATATTCACTGTGCTGAAAAATGAGAAAAGAAAACATAGATAATACCCAAAAGGCATTGAAGCTGAAACTAGATGTACTGGGCTTACATTCTTTCCCCAGAATTTATAGTGCCTAATCTTTCCCATCTGAAAAATGAAGGTAATAACAGCACCTGCTTCGTTAAGGTGGATTAAATGGCGAACATGTGCAAGGCCTTTATAACAGTGACTGCCAGGCAGTAATCACCTTATAAGTAAGCTATTTTAAGATGAAGGGAAATTTGGCTTAGCTCGAGAATCTTGGTTGAAAGAAGTACTCATAGCAAGTAATAAGGAGAGGGGGTTGAAGGTGAATGGAAAGAAGGGAGAGGATGAGTACAGGGCTGTCATCTCTGGACCAGAATTTCCGAAAGAGAAGGAAATTCATTTGACAGGTAGCAGCAGTTGGCTGTAGCAATGTAGCCAAGCTGTGCCTATGTCATCCCTCTCCTTTTGTACTTGGAGGGACACACTGGGTTGCTAGTGCCTCTTAGACTTGCTAAATATATCTGCTTGGACACTAGACTCTCAGGTATGTGGATGACGGTATATATAGGGGTACACCGTTTCTACCCTTGTTACTGGAATCCTCTATTTTTGACCCTGTGAGACGTATAGCATAGGTTTAGACACTCTAGCTCTGGCAACTAAGGTCGTTGCTGTGGTGACTGTCTGAAGAAAGGCTGGGAGCCTGCCAGCTCTTTCTGCCATGAAGAAGGTTGGGAAACTAACTAGCTCTGGCTCAGTGCTATCTAGACAAGTGAAAGCAGCATCTACTTACAATCACGCATGTTTAGGCCAGTCAGTTTTACATATATTGCCAGATGATTTCACTTAACACTTACATGAAACCGGTGAGGAAACTGAGTCTCAGAGAGATCACACAGCTCACAAGGTGCAGAGCCAGGATCGGAACACCATGAAAATAACTTCTATATGGCTGTCCACTAGATTCTAGCTGCTATAAATGTAGCAATGCATTAAGTCTTCTAACAATCAAGAAATAGGTACCCTGGTCATAAATATGCTACCATATAGCAAGTGCCATATGTTTATGGTATAATGTTTAAAAATGTAAATATATATGGGTATAACATGTAGTATCAATGTATATATATGCACATATGTATAGCATTTATGTTTATTGTGTATAACATATGTGTGTGTTTGTACTATAAAAGAGTTAAAAGGGAGTGGGGGCCATCCACTTGCTGAAGGGTAGATGTGGAAACCAAAGCTCTATTTCTTGCTTAGCTGTGTTATGGAGTGTGTGCTGCTTGCCTCTCCATAAGTAGATTGCAAAGCTAGGCCTTCTCCCATGTAACAAACAGGATGGCTGATAACAATATCACTTTCACCAAGACAGCAAGTTTTCCTATATTCTTCGACTGCCCTACCCCGTGTGAGTATTGCTTCTTGGGTTCAAAGAGCACAGAACAGTTTTAGGATACTGAGTGGCTCAAACAAAAGAATAAAGTAATACCGAGTCTCTCAAATGGTCAGTGGGAGTGGGTGGAGGACTCGGCCTGGTTTACCCACTGCTGTTTTCTAAGCGCTTCCACAGGTCTAGACATCTCATGGACAGGAAATCCTGGCTCATGCTGTAGCTGAATATGTTATGGTGCCTTTGTGGACAGTGACATCTCACAAACATGTCAAGGCAGACAGAGTCTGAAATACAAATTGTTCAATTTGCTCTGGTGTATCCCAAACAGAGACTGCTCTCTAGTCTTGTGAAAGCTGAGCTCAGAAAGTACTCCCCACCTTTTCCATGTTAGCACCCAGAGGCAGATCCTGTGGTGTTCAGGCTGGGCTTGTCCACTCAAGTGGTCTTTCTACAATAGACTCCCAAGTGCTGTAACCACAGAACCTTCTAGCTACCATGCACTGTGCCGGGCATTCTCCACCCATCTTTTTCGATCCTCACTGACTATCTTTATTTGCCAGAGAGCAAACTGAGGTTCAAAGTGGTGACAGAATATCCCTCACATAGCACAGATAATAAATGTCTTAGCCAGGATATCTGATACCAGAGACCTGTGTCATTCTGCTTCACCGGGTGTTTGGCCCCCAAAGAGAGGCCTGCTAGGGCTAAGGCAATAAACCTTGGGAAAGACTAATAATAGCAGTATTGGAGCAAAGTGAATTTAGAAGCTCAGTGTGGCTTAGGAAAAATGCCTTCTCTTGGGCTGAGTCTCCAGGTAGAGGGTGCTAAATGCAAAACCTGGAGGAATCTGAAAAGCAAGCATGTGTTCAGGTTCGGGCTCTAGTAAGAAAGGGAAATTTTTACAAAAGGCGTATATGACTGAGCAACTCAGGAAACTACATCCAAGATAGACAATCTACTTGTATGATATATGAACCAGGGCACCCAATCCTCCGTCTCCCTGAGGTGAGCTCATGTCAACCCTTGTCTGAATATGTGGGCAGAGGCGTAAGAACAACTGCAGGATGGGAGTAGCTGGCATCTCTGCTCCACCTTTTCCCACCCTGGGAGAGGGATTTCTGCAACAGGACCCTCCAAACCCTCTTGAGGTCAGTGCTTCCGAGAAGATGCTTTCTAAATTTGAAAAAGCAGGAACGATGGCCAGGTTCATCCAGTAGGATAAACAAAAGATCTCCAATCCTCAATGCAAGCAAGAGCTAGAGCAAACAGCTAACATGCTAAACTAGTTTTTGGTGTGGGTTGGGAGGGGTGTGGAGCAAGAGGGAAATTGAATATTCTTAGCCCACAGTGTCCAAGTCCCTGAGCGCTTTCTGGATATCTGCATGAGCACAGAGGCTCAGCAACCTCCCAAGTGCACATGGCTGTAGACTGTCTGGGAGTGTCCATGCTACCAGCCAAGGAACCTGGGCCAGGCTGATGTTTGGGAAACTACCTCGAGGCCTGGATGTTCAAAGTGACCTAACTTACCAGATTTTCTTTTGCAGGAATTTCCTGGGGACAAGTGGAAGCCAATAACCGGCAACAGGCAAACTAGCCATTCAGGGAGGTAAGTGATGGCTCCGGCAGGTGGGTGATTGGGTGCCCCAGAAACTTCTGTAGCAATGGCTATGGCTTTTGGTTTGCTTGATATTTTTCATTTAACAGAACTGGTTTGCTATTCACACCAAGGACTTGTTTCTATAATTATAATCCAATGACCTCCCTACATCACCATCTGAATATAGATTGTGAGGCCATTTTAAAATAGTGTTGTGAGGGGATGTCTGTCTGAGGGAGGCAGCCCTGTCTAGTTACACCCAAGGCCACAGAAAATGAGACTGTGCAAAAATGAGCGAGAAGGCCCAAACTGTGGCCATGAGTAGTTGGAGTCAACAGAGAGGAGTGTCTGTTCTCTTTGACCAAGGTTGGTGGAGGCACCTGCTTCTTGGCTTCTGCCACCACACTTTTAGTAGGACTCCTTGAGAACTTACGGGTCATGAAAACATGCTCATGGGTTACAACTGCTGGAGAAAGGTGCAAACAGCTTGGAATTAAAAAAAAAAAAACTACTTTGCTCAGGGTGGAACACTGAGCTCCTCTAGGTGGATCACAGTACCCGGCACTCATGTTCCCTAGAGATGAGGCACCCTAAATGGTGACTCTAAGTGAACCAGAGGTATGGCTGGTCACTTCTGGCTTGCCTAGTTGGATCACTTTTTTGTACATTTTGATATGCTGTCTCAACCATATCGGAAAGAGGGTAATGAAGCCCATTACCATCTCCAGAATAAAGCAGAAGACAGAAAGGCTTAAATAGTCCAGAGTTCTTTTAGGTGGTCTACATTATGCTCCATTATTTTTAATTCAAATATAATTAGGTCATTTCACCTTTCCCTTCCTTTCCTCCAGCTCCCCCATGTCCCCTTCCCCCAGCTCCTTCCATGCCCTCTACTTGTTCTCTCTCAAATTTATGGCTTATTTTTCTTTGATTATTCCTCTCTCTCTCTCTCTCTCTCTCTCTCTCTCTCTCTCTCTCTCACACACACACACACACACACACACACACACACACTGTCTCTCAAATTTATGGCCCATTTTTCTTTGATTGTTATTGTCACACACACACATATACGTTTATGTGTGTGTACACATAAGTGTATAAATGCAACTTGACTCCATTTAGTGTTGCTTGCATGTATGTTACTTTAGGCATGGCCACTTTGAATTGGATAACCAATTAGGGGTTCCTCCCTGGAGTACACTGACTAGAAGCTTCTTTGATGAGGGATAAGAGATACAGTTAGCTGTGGTCATAACCAACAGCTGTCTCATTGGACCTAAGGCCAACTCAACAAGAGGAAAATCAGACCTCGTACTGGAAACCTAGTCAACTACACAGTTGTGGATCTTAGAGGAAGTCCTACTACTTATAAGAAACTAAAAACTACTACTTAGAGGAAAAGCCACTCTGTTTGACTGGTGTAATTCCTTACTGTATTCTAAATACTAGCCCCCATGGTTTGATAGTATAGGTAGGAATTATTTTGGCTTTTCTTTGATCCCAAAGTGTGGAAAAATTACTATTTCCACCCTGCAATGGGAAAGGGGATGATGCCCAATATTTATTATCCATCACCAGGATTATACATTCAAAATTGCGTTTGCTCTCCAGAGTAGTTCTCATGCTGCCTAGTTTATAGGTGAGGTCCAGAGATGCTATATAATTCAGCTAGGTCACAGCAAATGGTCATGTTGGGTTTCAGACAACCTGATCCCCAAAGTTTCTGCACCTTCCCTCATCCCCCATTTCACCTGCTTCCATTGGAATTCATAAAGGACAGTCTGCAAATAGATCCCTCAACATAGTGGTCCAGGAGTCTAAGTCCTAGGCAGAGATTCTGCAGGATTCCATGGCTAGACTTGATCCCCTCTCCATCTCCCACCGCAAGCTCTGGGCTGCTTTATATTATGTCCTTAGGGATATTATTTTAATCTAATGACACTGTCAAGTTTCATATGTTATTAGATTGAGACCGTTAAAAAAGATACCAAGCCTTGAGCATAGCTTTATTCTATGTGCTTAACACAGAGAGGCCTTTCAAGTGGTATTTATCATCTGTTTGCCAAAAGAGGAGATAGAATCTGTTCACCACTGCATGAGTAAAAAGACATGAAAACAATAACGCTAACAATTTCCGGGTTTTTGCTTTCTTTCTATTTTCTTCAACACTAGGGAAGGAATCTATGGTCTTTTGCACACTAAGCAAGTGCTTCACCATAGCGCAATACCCCAAGGCAGTAAATAACTCAGTTACATGTTGTAGCCACCATGGGATGCATTTTTATAAGCCTTTATTTATCACTGTGAGGTTGTAGAGTAGGTATAATCAGCGTAGGTGTAGTTTCTTCTCCGTTTAATACAGAGAAGCAATTGAGGTACACACAAACACATTCATTTGCCTAGAGCCTCTCAGCTGGTGAGTTAATTAGCCCCAAGTAGTCTTGCTTCGGAAACAGTATTGTACACCTCACCAGGCTCCAAAGTGCTTCTCCTACTCACTCATCAGTGAAGTGAGAGAGTCTTACTAAAAGCTTGGCATGTGCGCTGCCTTTTGCTTAGCAAGGTGGGAGATTCTAGTAAGAGATCAGCGAGAAGCAGTGTCTGCCCACAGCTTGAGCAGAAAATAGTAGCCCACACCGAGTTCAGCAGCAGTAATAACACATTATTACTTGCAAAACAACCTATGCGCTATGAGTTGAGTTACACAACTTAGCACAGAACTTCCTAAGAGTTCCAGCGAGTGGGCACTAGCCGAGGGTATTGAATCTCAGAGATGAGTATGCAGCCAGAACACCTGGAGAACTTGTTGGAACACGAGAGTCTGCTGGACTCTGCCCCTCCAAATCAGATTTCATAGGTGCGAAGTAGGGCTCAAAATTGGCCTTTCTAACTGGCTCCTTGGATGATGCTGGCACAGCTGGTCCTGGGACCACACATTGAGAACTGCTAACTTGGAGAAAGGATTTGAAATTTAGAGAGGGCAAGTTCTCCACGCAAGTTCTCCTGGCTGGTAGGGGGATGGGCTCAGCTTTTAAGCCAGCTTTTTCTTATGAAAGTTTCCAAAAGAACATGAAGCTTAAACAAGGAACACCTTAAATCAGGCCCCAATACATGATAAGTATTTATTGCATTTTGGATAAGTTCATGTAAGGATAAGAAAACTGCAGGCTGTAAGTGGAAGGAGAAGAAACTAAGCAAGATGTCTTAGAGTAATCAATCCTGTTAACTAAACAAGGCCTTGGAGTTAATACTGCCTCAGTCAAGATCCATGTTCGTGTGCTTCCTCGTCTTCCCTCTCTCCTTTACTGACTCTTCCTTTTCATCTCTTATCTCTGCACCTGTCTTTATCTCCAATTATTTGTAAGAGAGGATTAAAGCAGCACCAGCAAATTCTTCTGAGAATCAAATGAGTAAATGGAGAGAAACCCTTGCAAGCACAACTGAACACTGTAATCGTTAGATGTGGTGCTGACGACACGGGGCACGCTCAGCAGTCAGGGTAGAGAACTGTAACTAAGGACACTTTAGTCCAGGATGGGCAGGCCTGGAGAATGAGAATGGGTGACAAACATTGGGAGCAAAATCATGTTCGCCTGTCACCAGGGATTACTAAGTCCCAATTAGACGGTAACATGAAGCTCTGATGCGTGGTGCATGATGTGGTAACTACAGATCGCAGTGATGAACTTTACACTCGAAAAGGCCAGAAGGGGGTTTTGAACACTTTACCATAAATAAGTGATAAATATTAGAGAGAGAGGTGTTTGTTCGGGTTGACCACTAGTCATTGTCTACATGTATCAGTCAATATCTGATGCCCCACTTATAAGTACAACTTTAGGATTATATGTATATATGACATATTTTACACATATAATTTACTTTAATTTGTATAAATTCATTATATATTCATGTAATTCTAAAGTTGTACTTAAATATCAATTAAAAATAAATTCAGATGGGGTATAAAAGAGGAGAATGAGGCTTGAAAATGACTAAAATTCATTATAAACATATGAAACTTTCAAACAAAAATAAATACAAATTAAAAATTATTGACAATCAGGTAAGTGACCTGATAAATGTGGCATTCTAAGCAACTTGGCAGCATTTGAAAGCTAGATGAGTTGGAGAGTAACCAAGTGAGGCAGTCATCCAGAAATTACACTGTGTGTTTGAACTAGAGAGGTGGCTGTGGAGGTGCAATCAAAATACAATATAAAAGGTAGATAAATACGTGTGATGTTTTGGGAGAAAAAAATAATTGTTCATTGTGAAAACAATATTACAGAAAATTAAACCCAAGAGAAAATAGCCTTGTTTCTACCACCTTATTGCTCCAATTTCCTGTTGGCTTTTTATATAAGTGTAGAGATTATTTCTGGCATGGTTATAATAACTATGCAAATGAGCTTTTGTACCCTGATACACTAAGCATTATTTGATAAATAATTTTCATGCAGGCTTCCTCAGTAATTGTAATTTTAATGGCTATATAATATTTCATCTGTTTATTGTATACTAATTTGTTTAATCAATCCTAAATTGTTGAATAATCAGGTTGTTTTCAATGCCTTGTTGTTATAAAATAATTATCTAGAACATTTTGAATATCTATAGATTTTTTTCTCATTTTGAATTAGCTCATGAAAACAATTATCTGAAACACTGAAGAAGCTACTATCTGGAGTTTGCGTTACTACTTCATAGTACATGAACATCCTTATGGTCCCTCACAGATTTAAAAATGACTTTCCTCAGTACCATCTGCAACATACTAGAACAGTTCTTTGCACCAAATTTTGCCATCATTGAAATTTTTCTAACACAAGAGTTAATACATGCTCTCGTCTTCATTTGCTTACCTTGATCTTTCTATTGTGAACATTTTTCATGTGTTTATTTAATGCCTTTGTTGTGTCTCCTGTGAATGTCTGTTCAGATTATTTGTTCAAAACTATAAGACATCTTTTGAAGGACAAGTAGGGAAAACTGTTTCTAGAACT